CACAAATCTCCAACAACTGCAAGATGCTATCCTATCAATATGGGCCAACATTTCTAAAGAATGCTTTCAGCACCTTGTTGAATCAATGCCACATAGAATTAAGGCAGTTCTGAAGGCGAAAGGGGGTCAAACACCGTATTAGTATGGTGTTCCTAATAATCCTTTAGGTGAGTGTAAATGCGCGGTATTTTTAGGCAGAACTAAATGAACACATTGACTTTCTATGGGAAGTTAGCTGGTGGACTTCAAACCAGGGTTCCACCAGTGGAAAGTGATGACAGCTGTCCCAGTGACAGTGGGGATGAAGACTACAGACCTACACCTTTATCACCAGGTGATGTTTCTGGAAATGAAAGCAGCAGTAATGATAATACTGACAACGAAAGCAGTAGTGACTCTGACAGCAATCCTGATGCACCTGCTAGCACCAGTGCTACTGGTGCAAGAAGGCGACCAGCTGCTACTGCAAGGAGAAAACGGCAAAAGTATAGTGTGGGAGATGATGCAACAGCAGAACTCTGCAAAAGACATTTCAATTTGGCAAGCTGCTCTTCCTGATGCTCATGAAATCAGACTGCCTATTCAGTACTTCCAAGACTTTTTTGATGCTGATCTTTTGGATAATATTGTTGAACAAAGTAATCTGTATTACACACAAAAAAATCCAAATAATGCCCTCAAATTGGACAGAAATGAATTGGAGCAGTTTATTGGCACTGTAGTGTACATGAGTATTGTACATTTGCCAAGGTCAAGAATGTACTGGTCCAGTGAATGTCGAGTAGCGCAGGTGGCTGATGTGATGTCCCGAGATAGATGAGAGGAAATGAAGAAATTCATTCATTTCAATGACAACAGCAACATGGCAGCCAACAACGATGGGAATTATGATAAGCTTTTCAAAATCAGGCCAATTATTGATTCACTTCTCCGAAAATTTCAGGGCCTCCCTCAAGATCAAAAATTGTCTGTTGATGAGCAAATGGTGCCATTCAAAGGTAGATCTAGTCTAAAGCAATATATCCCCAAGAAGCCATACAAATGTGGATACAAAATCTTTGTGCTTTGTGCTTTTGATACAAAAGGCCTGGTACATTCATTCGACATACATCAAGGGAAAATTGATCCTGTGCCTGGAGAACCTGACATTGGTGCAAGTGGAAACATAGTGCTAAAGCTTGCACAAGTTAGTCATGGTGCTGTTAATCGCTTACTGTTTTTTAACAACTGGTTTTCTTCCTTGGATTTGTTTGTTGCTCTTGCGAACAAGGGGATACCAACCCTTGGCACTGTGCAGCAAAGTCGTCTGCAAGGGTGCACTTTCAGCACAGACACTGATATGAAGAAGAACGAAAGAGGGACATTTGAAGAGAAAAAGGTTGTTGTAGTCAATATACAAGTAAGAGCAGTCAAATGGTTTGACAATAGAGGGGTAATCGTTGCCAGCACATTTGCCATTGCCCAGCCTTTTTCTAATGTAGAAAGATGGGATAGAAAATTGAAAAAGAAAGTGTCTGTAGAATGCCCAAGCATCATCAGCCTGTACAACCAGTTCATGGGGGACGTTGATACTCTTGACGCACTAATTGCATATTATCGAATCCACGTGAAGTCAAAAAAGTACTATCATAGGTTCTTTTTTCATTTTATTGATATGGCCATTGTAAACAGCTGGTTGTTATATCGACGTGATTGTGAATCACTGGATGTTCCAAGAAAGAAGCAGAAGGATTTGCTTACTTTTAGAACATCAATTGCACAGGCACTCTGCATGCAAGGCAAGGACATGTCAAG